GTTTCTACAGTATCGGCCTTGCACCGTAGTTACCGAAGAATGGAGTCATGGACTGAGACTGATCGCCCAAAACGTGTTCTTAGGCTACCAAGACAATATTCGTTGCATACAATATCATTCAAAGGTCAAGGTCAAGGTCAGGTCAGGTCAGGTCAGGTCACCAAAAACAAAATATAGAAAAGGGCATGTGCGACACATGTTTTATGGGTCATTTTACTCATAGAATTCAATAGGCACACTCAATAAGTGATATGGACCACCTCTGGATGAATTTCAGGTCGAGGTCAGGTCAAGGTCAGGTCAAGTGAGGTCAAATTTTGAAGTTGGTTGTTAAGGCCTAAAAAGGTGTCTATCTGATGCAGTTTTTCACGGCGAATCGAATGGTGCTATTTTTGTTTCCGTACGAGGTCTAGAACGTCCAAAAAAGTCATTTTTTAAAAAATTTGTGTGTCGTGACGTCATAAAATTTTGAATAACTCCCACATTTTTGAACCGATTCTTCTAAAATTTGGTATGTAGGTGCACATAGACCACTTCTCTGACATATATTCCGGTTTTTTCGATAGACTCAAAATTTTGGATTTTATAATGATTTTTCCAAAAAAGTTAGTTTTTTGAAAAAATTTAGGCCAAAATCCAAAATTTTCAAAAAACCGAGATAGCCATTTGATAGACAAAGTAAAATTACGTATAACCTTTTTTGTTACGTCTTGATTCCATTAAAAATGAAGATGTTAGCGGCGTTTGAACTTTTGCCGTTTTTGAGGCGAAAATGGCGAACATGACGTCACTAAAACGTCAATTTCTCAAAAATTTTCCGACGGATTTCGCTCAAATTTTCAGGGAACGTGTCAAATTGATGTAAGAAAAGGTACTGAAAGATTGGCGGCGCTGCGCGCCGCCGTTTTTGAGATATCGCAAAAATTCGCGAGGGGGGGTAAAATTTACCCCCCCCCAGCCCCGCGCGGGTTAAAGTTGTGGGAGACTGAGGCATGAAGGTATACTGGAAGCCAGCGATATTTCTGTTGGTAAGCCTCGCCCAGAAAAAAATACTTGCTTGAATCTGCAAAGTATATCAAATATTTGATGGACTGCACAGTGCACAATGTACCTGACATGGCAGGATCAACTTGCTCACTCGCCTGTTGAAAGTGCCGTTGCGTCAGAGCCCGTGGAAGTGCCGGACCGTGTCTCATGCAACCGTATTATTTTGTGAATGTTATTGGTGGTGACTCGAATCAGCTTTTGCACCACTCCACTATGATATTGTAATATGTATATATTAAGATATTTTGTATCGCATGCTAATAAGTAATAAACGTTATTTTTGTGTATGTTTTTTTGTACCGTGGCTGGCACGCTGTTGTGGCTGTCGTTGGCCGGGTCGTCCACCAGTCAGAGGGGCGGCTGGGGAGAAGGGGGGGGGGGGCAATTGAGCTAGTATTACTACTGGGCAGCAATAGCAGGCACTAGCTGGTTGGGTTACCAGGCGAGTCCTGCTAAGGAGCCTAATCGGCGTACCGATCTGCTGGTTTTGTCCTCGTTTTCAAACGAGGTACCGACTAACGAAACGAGGGGCTGACACGGGGTGCTCGGTTTATGAGGCGTGGGCTTGTCATTTACTAACGAAACAAGCTTGTACCCTCTTACTAGCTAAATATGAGGCGATTTTTACACGTCGCTGCATGCTCATTTTTGCGCCAGAGGTTTTCCTACAAGGGGCTTGTAAGATTTTTTACAGTGTGTAAAAGCCGCTGTTTGCCGGCATTTCACTGCCCGTGAACGTGAAGTAAGTTTCGTCATCCATGACGACATCCGTATTTTCCTGGACACGCAGGGCTCCTCGAGCTAGTTAGCGAATCTTGGGCGAATCCTTCTCTTCTGCACTGTAAAAAAATCTTACAAGCCCCTTGTAGGAAAACCGCTGGCGCAAAAATGAGCATGCAGCGACGTGTAAAAATCGCCTCATATTTAGCTAGTAAGAGGGTACAAGCTTGTTTCGTTAGTAAATGACAAGCCCACGCCTCATAAACCGAGCACCTCCGTGTCAGCCCCTCGTTTCGTTATTCGGTACCTCGTTTGAAAACGAGGGCAAAACCAGCAGATCGGTACGCCGATTAGGCTCCTTAGCAGGACTCGCCTGGTAACCCAACCAGCTAGCGCCTGCTATTGCTGCCCAGTAGTAATACTAGCTCAATTGCGTCACCCCCCCCCCCATTCTTCTCCCCAGCCGCCCCTCCGACTGGTGGACGACCCGGCCAACGACAGCCACGACAGCGTGCCAACCACGTTACAAAAAAAGCATACACAAAAATAACGTTTATTACTTATTAGCATACGATACAAAATATCTTAATATATACATATTACAATATCATAGCGGAGTGGTGCAAAAGCTGATTCGAGTCACCACCAATAACATTCACAAAATAATACGGTTGCATGAGACACGATCGGGCACTTCCACGGGCTCTGACGCAACGGCACTTACAACAGGCGAGTGAGCAAGTTGATCCTGCCATGTCAGGTACATTGTGCACTGTGCAGTCCATCAAATATTTGCCATATTTTGCAGATTCAAGCAAGTATTTTTTTCTGGGCGAGGCTTACCAACAGAAATATCGCTGGCTTCCGGTATACCTTCATGCCTCAGTCTCCCACAACTTTGAGCAACTCTGCAAAGAGAAAAGAAAATTAACTGCTGATTTTAAAATATCAGTGAGGATGGCTTTATTATCTACATCAACTGACTTTTGTACAAGAGAAATCAATGTGAGGCAATATGTGTAGCTTACACATTTGGAAAAAAGGCTAGACAGCAACTGAAAGAAAGTCCGTCTTCCAATAGTCGGAATTCAAACGAAACAGTGGCCCACAACGGTCAAGGGGTGAATTCTATGACGCAACATGTGTTCAGAATATTACAAAATAAATAAAATGTCGCCCATTGCTACGTGAATATCATACAATATAACGTACCTTCGAAATATCCCAGTCCGAGAACTTCACAACGCACCGTGCCACAACACAACCGCACCAACTGCCGGCAGCCGCAGAACTGAACAATGGCGGCCGGAAATGACGGCCTCGCCGGAAGTGAAGGACGCGTTTTAGAAGCAGTCTCAGAATCGTCGCTGCTCACCGTAGCAGGGATTTATGAGGCACTACCGAGTCAAAGTCGTTTCGCCTCATTCGGCAACACGAAAACCCTACCAGGACTAGTCCGATGATGAGTTTCCGACTAGGTGGCGTGTGCGCAGGATTATATTTAAAGCACGTGCAGGGCGGTGCCTCATTAGCCGACATAATAATGATATGACACGATAATGAAACACGCATGTAACTAGCATGCAACAAGCTTCTGGCGGATTTAATTATGAGACTATGCGTAGTTTTCCGACACAGCGCGAAATCTGTTGATAAGCAGGAAGGGGTGTTAGGGAAGCATTTAAGTTATAAGGTTACCGTTTGTAACCAATTGTTTCACGAGGCCACTCTTTAACTAACAACTCTCAGGCTGATAATGTCCCTATATATAACAGCAAGGTACAATGGACGACCGTGTAACCCACTCCTTGTCGTAGAATTGGCTCGTGACATTTTTTACAGTGTGGGTTTTCTCTTGGCTTGCAGTGACCAGGGGCGCCTTGCTCCTCTTCCGGTATACTATGCCTTCCTCCTTGATTATTTTTTTTCGACATACGATTTGCTGATGCCGTATCGGCGAGCCAAAACGCGAAGGGACACGCCAACCTTGGCACAGGCTGCCCTTACAAGCATCTTCCTTTTCAGTGTGCTCATTAGAACCCGCTTCCGCCCAGATTGACCTCTTCCACCATGCTGGGTACTTCCTTTGGCATCGATCGTCTTAAGGATATTATATACTGTCGATCGCCCTATTTCCAAAGGGGCAAGCAGACGAACGATTTCCGCCTTGGCCAAAAGTGGCTTTTTCTCCCTAACCTTGTTCACTATTTCTGACATGATGGTGTTTGTTCATTGGCCCCATGGTGAAAAGTGTGTCAATGAATCGATTTTGCATTGGACATCCATAAACTTTTTGATTCAATCAATACACGTGCTGAGTTTTATTTTCGAGCACCCAATAACAAGAAAGTGATTGTCTTAAAGTTTGTCCAAATGATAAATGGGCACCCGTTATGCATACTACCCGACCCCTTGGGCAGTATGTATACCGCCCAAAAGTTTGGGCAGTTTGCCTACTGCCCGCTTTCTGACTTTAAAGGGACTATCCCACCTTCAAAAAAGTACCGTTTAGGATTCGGAAATGTTACTCATGATATTTTGACGAATTCTGCAAGTTTTTACGCGTTTTCATCGAATACTTTTTGAGATATTGCGACTTTCCTATTTCATCGTGACGTCATTTATATCGAATCTGTGACGTAATGAAGGATTTACTTCATGTCAATGTGAGGGGAAATTTGGCAGCAAATATATTTGCTCTCAAATATGACGCGGTTCATACAATAACAAGAGTGTCTCTGATTGGCTTATTCGTAAATCAAGTGATACTTCTCTTGAATGTGTGACAGGCGTTCAAAAGGCAAATGAGTAATGACGTCATCAAATGGCCGTTAATAGTTAAGAGATAGGGCCTTAGCTAAGGCCCACTTTTCAAATGAAGGGAACGAATTTATTTAACACCACGAAACTGAGGATATTGCGACCAGGATATATAGTGGTTTCTGAACCTGGCCGCCAACTTGGCTATCTCAACTCAGAACTAATGCAAAGGTGGGACAGTCCCTTTAAGTTGTGTAATCTATGTCCACATTACGAATATAGCTGATTGGCACGCGGTACGAGGTAAAAGAAAGCCCGCTTCCACACCTTTCTGAGACGGAGGACTCGGCCCCGCGAGTTCTGCACATGAAAACTCGGTAAAACAGGATAACTGAGTTAGTCACGACCTGACCGCGCCCCCAACCGGCCAGCGTCTGTATATAAAGTTGGACAGAGGAGAGCCAATTGCAGTCAGCATTCGCTACTCCCACCGACCAGCCATGATTAAGGTAAGAGGGAGAGAGAGTGGTGAAGTCTTTCGAAGCAATGCGACTACAGCATGTGCAAAGATATGAATCACTGCATTAGTTACAGTTCTCGAAGATTAAGTGGTTTAAGTGGTAAAAGTTGCATAAAGAACATCGGTATGCTGATGCGAAGCATAAGCGGCGGAACGGGGGGCAAGGGGGCACCGTGTTCCTCTTTGATTTTGGCATTTTAACATTAGCCCTATGGGCGTTGAATGGAAAGAATGGGACCAAAAGTCGGCAGTGCCCCCCCCCCCCCCCCCACCTCTGTTAAAGGGACCCTCCCACCTTAACATTAGTTTTGAGTTGAGATAGCCAAGTTTGCGGCCAGGCTCAGAAACCACCATTTATCCTGGTCGCAACCCCCGCAGCCAGGGGCGTCGCCACGGATTTTTGACTGGGGGGGACGGATTGGCTGGCTTAAAACCCATAAGCCGGCTACCGTACGTTTTTAGGGCTATGCACTACTTGTAACGCATACACATGTTCTTTCCGCGTAGAGGCGTTATTAGTCATAATATCTCCTTTTTACTTGTATGAATTGGCGGCGCGAAGCGCCGCGAAAATTAGCAAAAACGCCCAGCAAAACAGCGCCAAAAACACATGAATTTTGCATTTCGTATAAGTTTGATACCAGGAGGCAGGATAGCTAAGGTCTTGTCACCAAGTCAAGCAGCCCTGCCTCTAAAAAATCGTGTGATCCTCTGTCAACCGTACAGCTTATTTCCAAGAAGTTGGAAACTTTGTACAGTGAAACTCCAGGACTGCGGGGTCGGAGTCGACTTCTGTCGTAGTCCGACCCGAAATCGTAACCGAAATCGTCACCGAAATCGTAACGAACTTTGACTCTGAAGTCGGAGTCAACATACTCTGGTTTTAAGTCGTGCTCTTGGCTGGTTAGTCGAAATATCTCAAGCCCGTTTACGTCCAGTCGTGTTATACGGCACACGTGGATGACGATGTGGATTGTGGAACTTCAACAGTTTCCCAAGGATGGGTCGGATAAGAGCTGGAGATTCTGTTGGCTGTGGTGATTGTAGGGGTCGTGGTTAGACTAATCAAGGACCAACTGAGTATTAAAGCTTCCTGGGCCCTCTCAGACCGGGACGAGGTCCTCTCACACTCAAGCATCAAGCGTTCAAGGGCCATGGTGAGGCCTACTGTCGGATGGCCTCGAACGGGAAGAGGGCCGTTTGAGAATGAGCTGAGGGTCTCGACTATTGCGAATATCCTGAAATGTGTAGTCCCTGCAAGCTGACACCCCACCCTGAGACTTTGGGACCGGTCTTCAGCCCTTGCTGGATGTGGTCGTCACCGGGCTATAACTGGAGCTTTGGCTCTCTATCGAGGACTTGGGACGGACAGCCTAGAGCTGTATGTACCTCATTGTAGGCAATATACCTAATCCTTGAATGTGATAAGCAACGTGCAATAAGACAAAAGCATCACATCACAAGTTTTTCACCGCGATGCGGACTGAGTGACATCGTGGTCGGAGATGGGATTGGAGTCAGACTCCGAGCGACTTTTTACAGCCGGAGTCGGAGTTACCAAAAGCCAATCTACTCCGCAGCCCTGTACCTAATTTGTATGCAAGGGCTCAGTGATTCAATTCTCAGCTATTCGTATGATTCAATTTGTATATCTGCAATTTCATATCAAAACTACAATAGGTCAATTTTCATAGGCCACTTTTTAAGTCATTCATGGGGATATTTTTGCGGGGGACGTCCCCCCCGGATTCCTCGACTGGGGGGGACGCGTCCCCCCCGTCCCCCCCGGTTTCGACGCCCATGCCCGCAGCTTTATAGTGTCCAAGAAATTTCTTCCCTTTACTTGCAGGGTGGGACCAGCGTAGTCCCTATCTCTTGAAGGGACTATCCCACCTTCTAAAATGTTGTTAAAACGAGTTAAATTGTGCCCGACTTTATAGATTGGATGACCAGGAACACGGTTCTGGCATTTATTTTTCATTAAACATCTTAGGCTTCCCATATTCCAAACACAAACTTTCAAATATGTGACGTCACAGCCCAAAATTACCTCCTTCCCCAGGCCACATTACTGTCATAAAGCTGATTCTTTTTACTCTGTAGGCACCACAACAAAGTTCAGACCAAGTTTTAAGCGATTTTTCAACGAACAAACCCATTTAAATCAGAATGACTAAACGAGGTGACGTCACACTAACGGTCGCTCCATGTTGAAGATAGGGCCTTGTACAAGGCCCACTTTCAAATGAAGGGAACGAATTTCTTCAACACCAAGAGGCCGCGGGGGTTGCAACCTAGATAGATAGTGGTTTCTGAACCTCGCCGCAAACTTGGCTATCTCAACTCGAACCCCATGTTTAAGGTGGGATAGTCCCTTTAACACTAACGGACTCTGATGACGTCATCAAGCCCATTGACCGCGCGTTATAAAATAAAAGTCTTATATTTCTAAAACGGGTGAATATTTTTCGGTGAAATTTGGTAGATGTTCATTTTCGCTCTTTCTGATTCACGGTACACCACTTTTATGCCAATTCATTTACTTTTTTTAAGGTGGGAGGGTCCCTTTAATTGAAGGTGTTCCGTCGCCATTGGAAGTATTTCATAAGTTTTTACAGATGCGTGCCAGCAGCTGCGTTTAATTAATGTGCACATGGAATTAATAACTAGAGTATCAAATGAAAAAGACGCGAAGCTCATGTTTATTGCAACATCCCGTAGGCAATTTAGTGAGTTTTGTTCGTGTGATCACAACGTTCTCCCATGTTTTCAGTTCGCCGTTCTGTCCGTGTTGGTGGCCGCTGCTGCTGCCAGCGGAGGAGGTGCCCAGAGCAGTGTCCACGTGTCAACGTAAGCAAATGTTTGCAGGCTGAGGGCATGGAGAGTGAACACTGGACAGCAAAGCTTTATAGCCAGGGGGTGCGCACCGGCCTTTTAAAGGTAGTGTGCCACCTTTGAAAGATTTCCCATTTTATTTTTCCTAGGATAAGAAGCTTCTGTTTTTACCTAATATCGCAAAAAAATCAAAAATGGGCCTGGAATAGTGCCTTTTTTCGCCTAAAAGTTTATCGGTTTTTAGATATGTATAACAACTGTAGTGGGCTCACCTGCAAACAGGCGTCGGGCAACAATCGCGAATGCGGCGCACTTGTGACAATAAGCAAAGGTCATTATAGTGTTACGACCATACGACGTACGGGAATGAGTTATCAGCTGTCTAATCGTAGACAACACAATGTCGAACTTAAACTGTACGCCTGTATTGGTATTGTTTATTTAATTTGGCTGTCGAACATTAATTTATGGTTTGAAATATGATTTAATGTAAAATAATTGATATGAAAAAGCCGTCTTATAAGTTATGACCCCATTTCACCACACGCAAGTGGCAGAAATGACAATGATCAGCTGACGCATTTTTCTTGGCCGAAGTCAGAGCGCGCGGCCCGACGCACCACGCGTATTTGGAAATTCCGACCTCAACGGGCATCAGAAGCCACCTAACAGGCGTGTTCGAAACCGCAGGAGATGATGATGAACGGGTTTATCGAAACTTGATTGGATGAGCCTATCGGTAATAGCGATTTTAGTGTGTGCATTTATTGTTCATAGTGGTGTGAAATGTGGTTGGGGTACGACCGACAGCCCGTCGGGGCGAATTTCGCACTGGGGTACTCAAAATTTGAAGAATTTAAGACGTTTCCATGAGTTTTGAAGGTATGGATAAGTTCTAAAAATCCGGTTCTCCTTATCCGGGTCATTAACTCCATATCATCCAAGAAAGCTGGCACACTACCTTTAAAGGGACTATCCCACCTTCTAAAATGTTGTTAAAACCAGTTAAATTGTGCCCGACTTTATAGATTGGATGACCAGGAACACGGTTCTGGCATTTATTTTTCATTTAACATCTTAGGCTTCCCATATTCCAAACACAAACTTTCAAATATGTGACGTCACAGCCCAAAATTACCTCCTTCCCCAGGCCACATTACTGTCATAAAGCTGATTCTTTTTACTCTGTAGGCACCACAACAAAGTTCAGACCAAGTTTTAAGCGATTTTTCAACGAACAAACCCATTTAAATCAGAATGACTAAACGAGGTGACGTCACACTAACGGTCGCTCCATGTTGAAGATAGGGCCTTGTACAAGGCCCATTTTCAAATGAAGGGAACGAATTTCTTCAACACCAAGAGGCCGCGGGGGCTGCAACCTAGATAGATAGTGGTTTCTGAACCTCGCCGTAAACTTGGCTATCTCAACTCAAACCCCATGTTAAAGGTGGGATAGTCCCTTTAACATTACGAAAAGTGGCGACACTTGGCTAGCGCTGTCAGCATCGTGAACATTCTAAACAACAAATGCAGTAATCCCACCAGTCAGCGTAAGCCAATATTCGACACTTATTGACTGATAAGCCAGTGACGATTTTGGGGGCCAGAGCGTTAGCGGTAACGTACAGCAGCACGGGATGTTCAGCTTATGACTTGATTTTGACATTATTTAGGCCAGTCTGATAATAACTCAGATCGTCAGATCGTTTATGAAAACTGCAATTCATTTTTGTAGTGGTCGAAGAAGTCTTTTTGCTTTTTTCTAAATTAATTTGTTGAAAAATGAGTTATTAGATGCGTACTCTTGCTAAATTTGCCCCGTTACCATGGCAACCTGAGTTAGTTTGGCACCCAGAGTCGCGGTTACTAAATTCATTTTTGTCCCCATTTTTTTCGTCGGGAGCGTTCTACCTGGTTTATACAGGGTGTCCTAAAAGTAAGGTAATGATTTAAAACTTAAATATCTCGAGAAGTAAGAGTCCGAATCACTTCCAATTTTAACACGTGCAAGGTACATCCATAAAATTATTTTCTTGCATGCTTAAACAATTTTTGATCATAACTACACCGAGCAGTAGGCATAAAACTGATAAGGTCGAAATTTAACTCTTAGAGAGGGTCCGTCATTAAAACAAAGGGTAAATACCGCCCAGTTTTCGGCCCTAAGCAGACCCTATCAGCTCGCCCTATCTCTGAACTCATGCATAGTTTCGCCTCAACCGGTAAAACGTCAGAAAAAAGGTATAATGTACGCACAGGGCATGTATACTTGGCCACCTGTGCTTCGAGGTCCTGAGGACGACAGCGGGAATCGGGTGACAATAAATCAAGAGAGGTGGCCGAGAGTCCTCCTCCCAGTGGTTCTTCCGCTCGCCGCAACGCAGCTGTGCCGACACCATCAACCAGCAGTGGTTTCAGCAGGATGGAGACCATGCTTGCACCGTCCTGAAGATCATGCATTGTCTCAGAGAGTGGATGTGAGATCGCGTAATTTTCAGTCAGGGCAACGCCATTGAATGGCCTCCGCGGTCACCTGACGTTACACCTTCATATTTTTATTCTCTGGGTACACAACAGAAAGGTTGTCTTTTAGGACAACCCAACGAGCCGGGAAGAACTAAAGGATGATCCCTCCGAGCAAATATAAGCGGCATCTCACCAGAGAGTCGCTCCAGAATAGTGGAGGAAGTAAAACGCAGCCTATTCGTGCACGCGGCCCGAAATGGTAGCCATGTAGAAAAGCAGCAATATATATATATATATATATATATATATATATATATATATATATATATATATATATATATATATATATATATATATATATATATATATATATATATATATATATATATATATATATATATATATATATATATATATATATCAGAATAAAATTTTATAAAATGCTCTTTCATATGATGTCCTCTTTATTTCTATCCATCGCGTATTTTTTGGCGGTGTGGCCAAAAACAAATGATGAGCTTACTTTTGGGACACCCTGTATAGCCATAGCTTAAGCTAATGCCTTATCCCTTCAATAACTTACCTATTGCAAAAATACTCTGTAAAAATACTCTGAGGGCCGAACAAATAAAAGGAAATAATATTAATAACGCATATTTCTATGTTTATTTATCATAAAAACAACTAAAATTATAGCAACAGGAAAAATAATAATTGGAGCTACATCGACTGCATAATGCATATACCTAGCACTACTGAATACGAAACAGGAAAGAATAATTCAATTTATCTGACCTGCCGTGTTCTTTTCTTTCACAGCTTTTCTCCGTACTCCAGCAATTCATATGGCTCCCACGTAAACCACGGACACTATGTGTAAGTTTCATTAAATTTAATGCAATCTCAAAGTATTTTCCGAGTTTAGGGCATGTATTTCATCACAAACGAAACCTTCATAGTAGTGAAGACAAACGAGAATTTGTAAGGATAATTAAGACATATTAGAGGATCTTAAGTTACACAGCACTTAACCTATAAAACATATACAACAGGTTATTTCCTTAGCCTTGCTCTTGCCTTTAATGCCCGTGTTCTGTCCTTCATTTTCAGTCCCGGCGGCTACGGCGGCCACGGCCGGTACGTCGGCGGCTACGGCCAGATCTACGCCCAGGGACAGGGCATCGGGCTCAGCCAGGGCGGTGGATACGGCGGTGGATACGGCGGATACGGGCAACAAGGATACGGACACGGCGGACTCAGCGGATACCAGTACGGATACAGCGCCGACGTCGGAAACGGATACGGACAGGGCGCCATCGGAGGTGGTGGAATCTACGGTGGATACGGCGGAATCCGCGGTGGATATAGCGGAATCGGTGGAATCCGCGGTGGATACGGCGGAATCGGTGGAATCCGCGGTGGATACGGTGGAATCCGCGGTGGATATGGCGGAATCGGTGGAATCCGCGGTGGATACGGCGGAATCGGTGGAATCCGCGGTGGATATGGTGGAATCGGTGGAATCAGCCGCTTGGGGCAGATTGGCGGTGGAATCGGTGGAATTTACGGCGGTTATGGACATTTCTAAAAGCTCTCGATCGCCTCTTTGGATGATGTGCCGATAAGACGTCAGATTTGATTTTCGCTGTTCTTTCAGTCATCCCATGAAAGGTCTTTTTGTTCCTAAACGTGACTGTAACAATACTGTCTTTCAGGGGTATGACAATACAATTCCTAAGCTGAATCAGAAGTGTGGGTGCCGTAACTTGCAGGGGATTGTTTATGATGGAATCATCCAGCAAACATTAGGTGCAATTGATTATGTTCGGTTGATCAGTGCGCAACGCTGATGAGCACTTAATGCTAAAAATTATTGGTGATAGCATATGACAATTAACAACATCTTCAGCAACATCGCCATCATTATATTTAACAATCATTCAGTGGCGCGGGAACCGGGGGGGCTAGGGGGGGCTGAGCCCCTCCAACTTTTCGGCTGGGGGGGCTCGTAATGTATTTGAGCCCCCCCAGCTGGAGGAATCGAAATCGGAAATCTACCAACATAATTTCATAGATTCATACATAGGCGCGGGAACCGGGGGAGGGGGCAGTGGGGGATGCTTGCCCCCACAACTCTGGGGCCGTGGGGGCGGTGCCCCACAACTTTTCATGAGGCCAGCAACCGTTGGGGCAGCTTGTCCTCCCCAAATTAGGTGCTGTGGGTCACAAAGGAAGAAAGCATGTAAGTGAAAAATCTCCCTCTTTCACTGGCTCGGCAACTCATTTGGCAGATTAAAACCTTGATTCCAGGTTGCCACTCAGCTGAGACGGAATATCTCACTTTTTTTTGCAAATATTTGCGTTTTTTTCGTTGAAAAGGCAAAGGTCTGAAAAATAAGTGGCCTAAAACCGGTGAGAAAACTAGATTTGGGGGTACCCTAGGTTAATCTCTATTATGGTTCAGCCCCCCCCAGTCTGGAAGAAGTTCCCGCGCCACTGCAATCATTACAAAAAAAAAAACAGAAACTACAATCGCAACCATGACCATCCTGTGTTGTGTTGAGTTCCAGACAATAATCACAGATCATTCCCCAAGCTCGTCTTCGGCCTTGAGCTGCCTGAAGAAATAAAACGGGAGTGGAGGCGGAACACGCCTCACGATCGTAAATAGAGTTGTTCAGCTGGGGGTTCGACTTCGAGGCTGGCAAAACACGAATACGGGCGAGGGTTAAGTTACAAGTCTTTCTTGGTAAATCATATATTAATAGATATTGCTACTCACTAGCCGCGATTACATAGGGCTAGTTGCCAGATAGTGGAATTCCGATACCGAGACATTTATTCCACTAACGAGACATTTCAGGCACATTCCGCTAGTTCTGACGACATATCCGACCAGAAGAGGGTGATACTAAATGCTTTCTTCGAAATCTAAGCTGCGTTGCGGCATTGGCGGTTATGTGCGGCGTGTATGCCGCATGATTAGTAAGCGGCGACCACTAAATTAAAGACTCAAACGCTCCGACCGGTTTTCAATGAATAATACTGCATACCAAAAATGCCATCCGCTCTCGTCATAAGATATTTAGCTTTAAATAACTAGGTTAAGAACTTTAAATAACAGCACCCTCGCATTGATCAATTTTACACCCACCCTGAAAATTTCATGACCCTGACCCAAATGACATTTGACCTGTGACCTAGCTTCCGAGACCATGTTTGGCCGGAGTCGTGCTTCGGCGTATGTCGGCTCCACAGGGGAGCACTGCCGCTTCAACCCTATTGGCCGTAGTGTCTAACGGTGGCGGCCATATTGCGCAGACCAGGAACCGGCCGCCGCCTGTGTTGAGGAATAGGGAATTCGGGACCTCGATTTACGTTTGCGGCCTTGCGGCCGCCGCATCCGCTACGTTCAAGTTACGTAGATACGGAACCCGGCATCTTACGCGGAATTGAGTGGGAAACACGATCGAATCTTCACAATTCCTAAAATTCACTCGCAGGACCATCGTCTTTCTACATTTGCCCCGGCCGAGAGGGTTGATTAAACCCAGCTCGCTAATGCACCGCTAATTCAACGAGAATTTAGCGGTAAAGTTGTCGTATGCGGCAGAGTACAATGCAGAGTGGCTGGTAGGAATCCGCTTCAAAGGTCTCAGGTCAAACGGTGACCTCTGAGGTCAGGTCAAGTGACCTAAGGCACAGGTTCTGTTTTTGGTAAATAACTTCGCCAAAAATGGCCGTCGAGCTGCGATTTTGGCATCACCGTGTTCAACTAGCTCAGGCGCATCGATTGATATACTTTTTGTTCGGTTGAGGTCAATAGGCATTGACCTCGTGACAAAGTCAGGTCAGAGCTCTCAGGTCACGAAGCTGGTCGAGTAAGGTCATGTTGCATATCATTCGATTCGGCAGGTCTTTCCGAGTCCATTTGTGGCTTTCCCGATTCGCTAGCTCAATTTGATCGGTAGTTATTGAAGAAAAGTTTATGACCCTTGTGACGTCACAAATAACGTCACGTAAGGGCTACAATGCAAATACGAAGCATCGGGCCTTGCAATGAGTGCATGAAATCACGATTACATATGCTTGAGATAGTTTCAGATCATTCCCGGCGCTAAAATAGCAATTCCATATTTCCCAATTGACTTTTAAGGGTTTGACGTATAAGTTCCTTGTATCTTAGGATTTTTTAAGTTTCCATCTTGTTCTCCACTCAATTCTGCGTAAAATGCCGGGTTCCGTGTCTACATAGCTTGAACGTAACGGATGCAGCGGCCGCAAACGTAAATCGAGGTCCCGAATTCCCTATTTCCCAACACAGGCGGCGGCCGCTTTCTGGTCTGCGCAACATGGCGGCACCGTTGGACACCATCTGGCGGCCGATGCGCCTTCCACATTATAGAGTTCAGTGGTCGGCTCGCATATTAGCCGCGCGTTTGCAAGCTTTTCATGGTTTCAAACGTTAAAACATGTGCGGCTCCCAGTCCCATGCATGAGGGTGGATGTCAAGGTCACCTGAAGGTCAGGTCAGGTCCTTGACCTTTGGTGACCTCGGTTCACCGCAGACATGCCGCGCGGGCTGGTTGGTATTGGAGCGTGTGATTAGGTAAGGGCGCACATAGGGAGAGTGTGTGGGGGGTCGTGGAAAATATGGATGTATATGTTACGGGCCAAGTGCGAAGGCTAGTCCGTTTGCGAACGGACTAGTCCATTCGCGAATGGACTAGGCCGTTTGCGAATGGCGGTCCGTTTGCAAACGGACTAGTCCGTTTGCGAATGGCCGGCCATTCGCGAATGGCCTAGGCCGTTTGCGAACGGACGGGTTTGTGGCGTTGCACTTAGCCGCCGGAAGCATGGATCCTCAGATTGGGGTACGATTCCGAATGAATGGGGGACCGCTGGTCGATGCAGGGGCGTCGCCGCCGGGGGGGGGGTCGGAGGGGTCCGGACCCCCCCCCCCCCCCACACACACACACATTCTGGAAAATATGCCGATCCGACGACCCCCCCCCCCCCCTCCCCCCACACACACACTTGGCCACGAAAATCGATCAAGAATAAAATAAAATATTTTAAAAACGATTTTGGTGCATTCTCAAAATAAAATTGTCTAAATCCGAGGAGTTTTCAGTATTTGGTGGGGATTACTTTGACTGACCGTCCGACCAGATCCCCTAGTCGAAAATCCGTGGCAACGCCACTGCGTCTATATGTTTAGTTTGTTCTCCGGAGCAGATCTGCGAGCTGGCGCAACTCTGGGTTAAGGTCTCCACACACCTGGTCCATTCGGGATGCGACTTTCCGCTGAACCCTGCACAACGCGGAAATTATAGCAACGTGTTGCCGCTGGCCAGGCTTCGGCCACCGATCTGGATCTGGGGAGGTCAAATATCCCCGTGACCCTCGAACAGCGGAGAGTCGCGTGGTGTGCGGAGACCATTAGTACCGTGCTCCGGGCTCCCCGCTGATGACCCGACCTGACCTTGGTCGAGTTTGTGGCGCTCGATTCATTCTCCTCTGGTGTGGTGTACCGGGACGGTGCGGCTTGTGTGTGGTGAGTGCGGTGCGGTGAGTGTTCGAAAAACTGTTGTGTTGCATTGCATTTAACAATACGCGCACTGCAGGGGGGTTGCTTTCAACCCCCCCCCCCCCCTGTGGTTTTTCACAGATCACGAGAAAACGGCGGTGCGCAGCAAAGCCAAATTTTGTATACCTTTTCTCCCATATTCTGCGCATATTGTGTGAAAATGCTGACTCCAGATGACCTCTTGCTGGATATTTCGCACTTGGCCTGACTTCGCATTGGACTGGGAGCATAAACGCCCGTCCATTCGCAAACGGCCTAGGCCAACTGCAATAACGCACATGGACTAGTCCATTCGCGAATGGACTAGCCTTCGCACTTGGCCCGCAACATATAGACAGATAAATGGAATTTCAAACAAGGTAACGCCCGCCGCCGTGGCTGCTGCCACGGCGGCGGGCGGCGTCACGGTGCTCGGTGCTCACAAAAAAGGAAGAAGCAAACATATTAAAACTGAGGTAAAAATCATAAGATTATAGCGACGGGTGCAATTTAAACTGTCTTGGAGCAATTAGCCTTGTCTTGCACCCAAAGACTGGTACCTACGTTAACCTGTTTCCCTGTCTGTTCCTGCTCTTTACGTTAATCTGCCATGCAATCCGCCATTTGGAAACACAAATCCACTGCGATATTACACAAACGATACACGAATGCTGGCACAAGTGCAAAAGACAAAACTAATGATATAATAATCTCAAAGCAACAACAAACACTGACAAAGACAGCCATTGAACAATATGCATACGGGGAAGCTGACCGCCAAAAAACGGCCTCCGATCTTTCACTTAGACCGGTGAACTATACGAGAAAGTACACAATATACAACATACAATATACGACAGAGCTGGCCGCCAAAGACGGCATCCTCCGATCTCTCATTCACTTACTTATTCCGGCTCTGGCGGCCACCCCTTTTTCCACGCGCGGACGCCGCAGCGCCGCCTCCCCGCCGACGGTTGCCACCATCGACGCTACTGGGCGTGGGCGGGGAGCCGCTCCCCAGAACGCCTAATGTTACCGGTCGCGTGTACTTTCCGGCTTCCAAGACGAGAGACTAGATTAATGGCAAAAAACTGTATTGCCAATCACACGGCGATAACAGACCCCCGCGGGTTCCCAGACTCGACTGCCTTCCCGCCGCGTCTCTCGCCGCGCCGCGTCGC